CCCCCCCGCGTCACCGCTCTCCACGGCTCTTCTTCGCCGCCCGCCCTTCCTTTCTGCCGCCCCCGTCGTTTTCGCCGACGCTCCCTAGTCGGCAGACCGCACCAGTGTGCCTCTCTCTCTTAGCATTCCATCCGCCATCTTCTCACTTAATAAAATAATTACCCCGGGCCAATTAAGCGTTCCCCTCCGCCGCCCTGTTCGCCCGCTTCTCTACGCGGGACCGCTCGTTCGTTCGTTCGCGCGTAGCTCTCTCTCTCTCTCTCTCTCTCTCTCTTCCTCCCTCCCTCTTTCTCTCTCCCTCTATCCTCCTCTCTTTCTCTCTTTCGCGCGCGCGTGACGCCACGGCGGCAGTTTTCTGCGCGCGCGCGCGCGTGTGTGTGTTGTATGTGCGTGCGTAGGGGTGTACAATAAACCGACGACACACCGGTATCTCCCGGCGTTTATTATTCGTTATCACTTGGCGGGATTTACGCGTCGAACTTCTGAGAAACGGCGGTTAATTGGCGCGTTTACGCGCCGCGATCAAGCCGCGGCCTCATTACGACGAGCGCGGCCGACGCGCGGGTCTGTTCCTGCGGTCGCGTGTCTTAGCGCGGGATTCGTCGAGAATCGCGGATTTTCGAGAGATCGCGAAGGCGTGAATGATGCAACGCGGCTTGCCGACGAAATCGCGTATTCGCGTACGGACAAAGGACTAATTAGATTCAGCTGCTTTCGGTGGATTTGATCCACCACGCTTACGTGAGAGGTATGGATGGATGCTGTCTTTTGCCATTTTTATTCGTGTTTCGTATAAGAGATGACAAGTTGAGACAACAGGTTTAATTTGACTGAACTATATGAACGTTAAATGCCAAGGTTTGTCAATCGAAACTTTGAAATTTCGAATATATTCTAATATGTAATTGTGATCTATGAGATATGTTTTAAATATGTTCTGCATCAATTGATCTCTCTGATGATCGTTATACCATAAAATGTTGAGAAATGATCGATTAGTTTTTTTACTCTTTTCGATTATGTAATGTTTAAGAAATTATTCTTAATTATATTTAATGCTGCTTGCAAATTTACCGCTGAGAAAGGGGAGTTGAGAAATAATACTCCTTGGCGATGAAAATTCGTCTGATTTGCCGTTGGATCGTACTACTACTTCAATTTGTCAGTAGAAACAGTGGCGGCTCGTAGCGGGGATTTTGGAACTACATTTTGGTATAATAGTCGATTGCCGAGGCTTGTGTTGCGAGTAATTCGTTCGCTTAACGGGTTTGAATCTCAGCTAAGAATGAGGTTTGAATCTCTGCTAAATATATTCTAAAATATTTATTATAAATTGTCACAGACTCTAATGAAAAATTGAAGTCACAATACGGCTAGACGACCAATCAGGCGGACCTTTTATTTTCAAGAAGCGTGAACGAACAGCGCCTAAGCCTTTTGTTCTTATTTATTAACATAACATAGAAGCCTTAGAGGCAATGAAGTATATATATAATAAATACATACAACAGTCACATGTTCAATGAAATTAACTAATAAATTGTAACAAATCATGTTAGAAGAGGCTACCGACGAGGACACTAATCGAATTTGAAAAAGTTGGAAAGACAATCGACCTATCGAGAGGTCAAAAATTGAACATCGATTCATCGTTCGTGCGTCGTCCATCTTTGATTCGATCTGATTCGATATCACTCAAGTGGCACATTAGATCTGTTCGTTTCCGCTGCACCGCTGAACTAGTGCAATAAGTTGAAGTGAGAAAACATATACTTGTCTCGCTTCAACTTATTACGAAAACGAACAGACTTCTATTCTTTTTAGCTGCACTGCTGAACTGGTTCAATAAGTTAGAGTGAGACAAGTATATTTTGTCTCGCTTTAACTTATTGCACCAGTTCAGCAGTGCAGCTAAAAAGAACAGATCACAAAGATGTCTACCGTGATGCTTGCACGTCGTGTTTTGTTCCAACAAATACCCGAATTTGTTGGTTTAACAGGAATGGTGCTGAATCAAGTGCCGAGGAGGTATAAAACGAAATTCTTAAACTTGCCAAAACCGGGCATCGACGGCAAAAGTTACCGAAGAATCGTCCATTTCAAAGATGAATATACGGTGGAGCCGTTGCAGGTTACGAATTTAGCTGGCAGGGATCCCGTCACAGGTACGTGAGATAATATCATTTTGTTGGTAGTATCTCTGTTAAATTACAACACCGGAATTCTTTATCGTTATAAATCAATTAATAATTAAACATCAGAGCGGGAAAAGGTAAGCGGTGGATCGGAGTTTTTGTGCTCCTCCGAGAAACGATATAAAGCATTGTTATTAAATATATTTAAACATTATTTCAATAAAAGTCTAAAAGTTAACAACGTCAAGTTTAAATTGAGCGCTTCGCGATCATTTCTAAATGTTGCATTCTTTAAAATACCATTTGACGTGATATATAAGTTGACATAACCTCAAAGCACAGCAAATATAGTAAACATGGCAGTTATGGGTAAAATTTGTATTAGATGTTCTCTTTGCTTTTCTGTTTCAACTTGGCGAAAAATGTCACGGAATTAACGAATCCTTGCCTTGGCGTTGATACAGTAATTGATAGAACCTGCGGAAGTCGATTTCTCTCAACAGTTCAAGGGGACTGTCCAGTTCTTCTGTTACATAATAAACCAGGAGCTCACATTGATTAAATCAATAAAGCAAGATATAATGAATATCGATTAGAATATGGTTTTGGTTTACTGATTCAGTTCAATCATCAAACAGCTCTTTCAGATTACTTAATCAATTGTTTTGATCAATGAAGCATACTTAAGAAGTTATTTGTGAACAATTTGCATCTTCCAAACAATAAATAGCATCTACAAAATTCATTCGTTTTTACCATCAAGCTGTTAAGTTTTTGGCTTAAAGAATCTAATAATCTTTGCCCAACGATATACAAAAAGACAAGGAATATTTTTATGATTACGATTATTATTTTATGTGTGTTTCATTCTGTCTTGGGAATGGAACTAGAATTTTGTAGACAATAAGAAGAAGAGAAGAACCTTTGCATTCGTGAAATATCGCAGGTTGAATGGAATTAATATACTTGACTTCTCTGTAGAAAGGGGAAATCATTGGAAGATAACTTACACGTCGGTTCAGGTTAATCATCGTTTACCTCAATGATGAAAACATTAAGTTTATAACATGCAAGTCCCGGATAAATGATAATCAAACTTCCGATCGCAGTCAGGGCACTTTTGGACGAAATGTCATATAAGAAAATCCATGAATGTCGCGTCAGACTCTGGGATAGCTCTCTATCACTTTCCTCATTTTTTCTTCATTTTAAGCCGTTCATAATCATCATTGGGAGAACCAATCGCCTTTATGTCGCTGAAACAGGTAGAGTAATAGCTAAGGGTATCGGCGGCGGTATAAAGCACAAATACCACTGGATCAAATGGGTGAGGGACGGGCCGAAGGACCTGGATGAGCCGCCCCAGGAGGAGAAGGTCCTCGAGGTCTTCAAGGATGGCTGTAGGACGGCCTTCGTCGCGTTGATCGGCGTCGGTCGCGAGCTGAAGTACATCTTGGCCACGGAGAACATGAAGCCGGGCGACATATTGCGCACCCACCATGGAATACCGCGTAATTTCGTGCGGCCGTCGGAGGGCGACGCCTATCCTCTCGGCGCTCTGCCCATCGGGACTATAGTGAACTGCGTGGAGATGTACCCAGGATTCGGCGGCACCCTGATTCACACAGCCGGCAGCTATGGAAAGTTGATAAAGCGCGAAGACGACCGTGTGATCGTCCAGATACCTAGCAAGAGACAGTTCAGCCTGCATGAGACTTGCATGGCCACGGTCGGCCGATTGTCGAACGTCATACACAGCTCCACGCAGATCGGCAGCGCCCAGAAGAACCGTGAATTGGGGAACCGGCCGAGAAGCGGTCTCTGGCAACGCAAGACCGGTAGATTCGGCCGGAAGATTAAGCCGCCTAAACCCGTGAGGAGGATCGACCCAATGGAACCTTCCGTTTACGAGAACTTCAAGTTCACCTCGACACGTTATGATTCATGAGTCGTCCGGCGAACACGTGATAATCATATTACGATAAGGGAAGATATTCCGTAATAAAGACTCATTACATTGTTCGGAACATACAATATTTTATTGTCTTCGTTACCCGTTCGTTACGTTTAATCCTGGATCTCTTGAATCTTACGAAATTATATGACGCGAAGATCGAAATGGAGAGGAAGATATGTATCTGGACGTGCGTTCGCAATTAAAAGAATCGTTTGCGATATCGCTGATGCGGTAGGTTTCCGTAGTCTCGATTGTTTGCGGAAGTTCCAGTCGTCCGATTCGGCGAGTAGAGTTAAGTGGAATTCGCGTGGGACTCCTTGTTGAAAGTCCTCCGGTGAGGAACGCGCGTTCGGCCGCTGTCCGAACGTCGAGCTCGCGGGAATGCTTCCATAGTCTTTCCATACCTGTGAGTCTTGAAACAGAGAGAGAGAGAGAGAAGGAGGGGGAGAGGGAGAGAGTAGGCCGCGCTCTTGGACTGTATATGCAGAGATAATCGTGAAGACTCGCGCGGGCATCCAATCCCAATTCAATCTTCAAAGGCCCTTATTGTAGTACACCGTATCCAGTTCGGGCTGGGAAGACTGTATCTTGCTGCGCACTTCTGGTTCTAGCTGGTGCACCGGGATAGGGACGCGTTGCGCGAACAGGGCGCAGCAGAGCGGCGTCGCGAAAGTAAGGCAGACTCCGCAGATGAGCACTTGAATCGGCCCGGCGGCCCATTTCATGTTACGCAACAGCTTCTTCCGGTCCAAGTAATTCATAATTATCGGCGCTAATACTGCAATGATCAGAGCAAAACAAGCGTCTCACAGTGCGGGAATAACCGTATAATCACGAAGTGTCACGATCAACGTAGAGTTCTTCAAGTGAGAGTCTGGATATCTCCGGCTTTTTGATCAAAAATGGTGTCTAATTTGATATTAGAACGTCTGTCTATACAATAGATTAGTATATGATAAATTAATATGACTAGCTGTGTACCAGGTTGTAAAAATACAAGTATTCAGGGATTTTATATGGCAGCTTTGTCAGCAAATTCTAAAAAGCGAGCAGATTTCACTCATTAATATATAACATTTTGAATGTAAGAGACATCATCACACGTGTGGGGTATGAATTATTTTTATTTTTTTTGTTGATCCTTTTGTAGAATTTTCAACAATCAATTAGTATTTTCATCCTTTCTGTGCAGACATATTTTCCTGAAGGTATATATGTGATTTATTTTATTATACATATATAATATTATTTATAAATAAAAGATTATTAAAATAAAATGAATAAAATCTGCTTCTATTAAATTATTAATTTAGAAATATAGAATCATGAAAAGCCAAACACGGCTGATATAGATAGCGATAGATTTTTTCACATAAAAGTATCAATGCCTGGACACGTACCTATCCTCGGACATTCTTGTTATTTTGGTCTTTAAATATACGAGTATTTGAACTTTAAATATTTAAATTTCGAATATATATATGCATATAATGAACATATATAAGTAATTTATGTTAAAAAATTAAACATTCGTATTTAAAGACTAAAGTTATTTTAGTCAGGTACGTATCTACATGTTGATATTTTTACTTTAGTTTCTTTTTATTCTTTCTTATCTATCCTTTTTTCCTTGTCCTTATTTCATATCTAGGAAAATATTCAGCGTTCTTTACTTTTCTGAAAAATTAATGTTTCCTATTATTTTAATATCATTCATCTTCCCTATCTTAGAATAATATTTACTTACAAATAGGGTCCCTTTATTTGATCCTCAGCCCCATCATTTTTCATCAAATAAGGAACTGGACCATTCATCAAAAAGACCAAGATATTCAGACTTTTACTTAAACAACTATCTCAACGATGAACTCGACAAAGAGCGAACTTATCCAATCGTTTGCGCATGCGAGCCAGATAACGAGCCGAGATACTTATTAGAAAAGTTGATGAATGTATAAAAATATTGGTTAGAAGCCTCTGATTAACGGAGTGTGTTGTAAAACTTACCCATGCTCGGAGAGGCCATTAGTATTCGCGATAACGTGACAGACACGATTGCCTGTTTTGCCGCGCGCTTGCTCTGGCCGACCTTCGTGCCTTCTGCGTTTTGTAATTCAATACCGTTCTGCAGTTCGGTGATCCTCATGAGAGGAATGTTCACGCAATTAGCCGCAGCGACCGCCGCCAACGGCACCAAACGGCCCGCCAATGGTGGGCCATGCTGGGCCAGACGATTCAGGGTCAGCGCAGTGATGACGGCGCCTCCGGTTGCACCGATGTAACTCCGCGCTAATGTATCCGACGCGATCGGCTTGGAGCCGCTGCGGTTCGTGTAGTTCACCACAGCGTTGAACGACTGATTGATCCACTGCCAAAATATCACGGCCGGCGTCGATCTAAACAATCGTAAACATAGCGTGTCTTAACGGGCGTTCTCGGCGAGTTCAGCCCGCGTTCCTTTCGCAAGCTTTCCTACCGAACGCCTCGTTCCGTCTAGATTGCTAATTAAGATAGTTGGTCCGTAAAAACGTTTTCTTGGAAATCCTTACGAACTTTCACATGTTCGTCGAAGCGCGATCTACATGTGTGTAAAGTTAGAACAAGATCGACCGTACCGAAGCTGAGATAATTGAAGTCAGTGCTAGCGCTATTGACACGTGTCAGGTGCGAAAACGACTTTCAATGTCACGTGTCTTATTTTAACGATCAAACTGCTCTTCTGTTTCTTTATGAGTTTTTAAACATTGTGTAAGTTTGTTATGCTCTTGCCATAGAGAAAAATATCCGGTCATATCTAGTCGGGCAGTTCAGTTGGAAACAGGTCCAGTAACGGATATATCTGATCAAGTGCAAGTCCGATCATTTTGTCACTTCATCCGACCAAGTTGCTTCATCCGATGAAAATTACAACGGATAAAAGGCGACTAGGTTCCTTTCGATTAAGTTTTATCGGTAATTTCATCGGATACATCGTTTAATCGGTTTACTCGATGATCATTTTTCTCAGTGTATCAAAGCCGTATATTATACATCATAAACATTGTTGAGCTTCTTTTTTGTGTTGCATCAACCGTTACCTTTCTAACAGTATTATTACGGACCAATTACCTCAAATGCCGGGTAGAATAATGCTTTCGGCATGAAAGCGTCCAAAATGGACGCGCCTTATCCGAACAAGCGAGGCTCCGTCGGGCCTCGAAACCATTTTTCTCGCACGTTAAACGAAATTCATACTTTGGTTACATCTGAAATTAAAATTTCTAATTTGTATGTAATTTCCATCTAGTTTATAGACAATTAATATTTAATTTCGTGTCAATTTATTCGTCATTTTAATTTAATATTACTCTCGCGAGAAACGAAAGATTAAATACTAGTGTATCTTGAATATTTTCGAAAAACGTTTTCGTTTTTATCATCTCGCTCGACTGCGCTATACTTATAGGTTGCCCGAATAAGAATTAATGTTAACATCACGACGCTCGAGTGACGGCCTAGTCTTCTAGGCGGCCCGCTCGTGTAATTTGGATTTCAAATTTTCTTTTTCCGACGTTCACGATACAGTCGCGTATCGCGCCGTTTCTGGAACAGGATTTCCAACACCATGACAGCTGATGGATATCGTTATCGGATCGCAACGGGAAGCGCGCGCGCACTCGTATGGATTTTTACGCGAGAAGTAACGCGAACCGAAGTCCGCTTATCGAGGAAGATTTCTTCTTCGCGGCGCATCGATTACGTACTTATAGAATGTCATCATACAGCCGGTTATCAGCATGTTCATGGGCACTTGGGCGCTCATACGGCCAATTAACAGCATCTTCTCGCCGGTGTCCGGATGGAAGGCGCTGTCGTAAAGATATTTGCATCGCCACAATTCGTTCTCGGTGATCCCGAACTTGCCCAGGTCCGCGTCGTCGCTCTCTCTGCGATCATATCATGATTACGCAAGCTGCAACTCAATCCGCCTGGTCGAGCGAACGACAAGTTGCTTACATCGATGTATGTCACAAAACGTTGATACGTATGCAAACATTCCAAATCGAATTACGAACAATAGACGCGCGGCTCTCGATCTCTTTCTCACTCTTCCTTCGAGTGAAATTATTTATTAACGCGTTGAGCACCGCGCCAATTTCACGTGACTTTCCATCCGGGTAGACCACCGATAATCCACGATATTACTATATTTATTATATTTTGATTACACATATATCTTCATAGAATATATCTTATAATATTTAAGATTACGAAAATTATTATTACGAAGAGAAAAGATTACGTGAAATATGCATTATGCAGCCTGAACGGAAAGTCCAACGAGGGCCGCCGATAACTCACGCGGCGTTCAACGCGTTAAGATTACGCAGGTTGCAATTTAATTTACCGAGGCAATGTGGTCAGGCAAAAGAGAAATTTTTTGCATATCAAGGCGACACAAATATAACAACTCACACAACAATTACAAATTAAATTACAAGCCAAAAAAGACGCGAGATAGTAGGGGAGACGCGCGGCTCTCCGTCTCTTTTTCTCTCTCTCTCCCTCTCGAGCGAAATTATTCATTAACCCTTAAATGCATAGTGTTGCAAATTTGCAACATATTTATTTTTCCTCTTTGTCGAGATCAAAGACACACCTAAACGCGGAAGACCAAATTCTTCCTTAGAACGAAATATACAATCCAAAAGGCACAAAAGCAATGCTCAACATATGCCTCAGATTTTTTTTAATATTTTCCTCATTTTCTGGGACAACCTATGAACCTAAAAAAGAAAAAAATTCAGTAATAAAAAAAAATGCATGCATTTAAGAGTTAAGATAACGCAAACTGCAACTGAAATTCGACCGGCTGAACGAACGTTAGAACGCACATCCAAGTGTCACATTATACGTATAAAAATTACAAAACCAAATTACGAGGAAAAAACGTGCGAGACAATCAAGATAGCCACGCTTCTCTCTCTCTCCCTCTCTCATTCTCGAACAGAATTGTTGATCGCGCCTCTCCTCCCTCCTTCACGGCCGATCGTTCGATAAAGAAGTCGCCGGGTAATCAAGTTCCTAACCCCGTGACGCAGACACCGGTCATACGTAACGCGCGACATTATCACGTAGACGTTTGCCACGCGCGCGTCAACGATTACGCGTCTCTCCCGCGACAAGGAGATGGAAGAAAACCGAAGAAGTAGAAGAAGCGACTAATTATAGCTGAAACGGCTACCTGTACTTCTTGACGACTTCGCGCGCGCGCTCGAGTTCCTTCGTCGAAGCGAAGATATTGAGCGGATTTGTCACCGTGAGGAAATGCAGGGCTCGACCGCGATAAGTGCTCTGATCCCAGTAAGGCCTGTCAATGTCTACGGCCTGCACGACGGACTCCTCCTTCTGCAAAACCTCCGTCTTCACCGGCATCTTCGTCGCCTCCTGCTCACGGCGCTTTCGCCTCTCACCGGGCCGCTACAACAACACCTTTCTGCCCCACCTGGCCGCTTCCTCGTGTTCCTCCTTCTCCTGCTCCTCCTCGTCGGCTTATTCAGCGGTGCGTTAAAGAACCGACGCTGCTACCTGCGACGAATACCTGCGCACTTGCCAGCGGTCTGTCAGACTCCAAAAAGACGGCATATGTGTCGCTCTGCGCCACGGACAAGCTGTTCACCCACCTCCCAGCCGACTGACCCGTTCCAGAGATCAAGCGCCGCTCTACATATCTCTCTTTCTCTCTCTCTTCCTCTCTCCGTCTCTCTCCCTCACTTCGCTTCCGTCTCCTTCTCTCCGCTTCCCACGTACGCATACACACCGGCCTCCTCTCACCCCTTCGCTCCTCTCGTTCGATCCATCCAGTTTGCTTCTACCGCGTTCATACCGCGTCTCATCGATAAGAGCGCGTTGCGCGCGCAGGATTTTCACGTTTGGTCGACTGACCACCAGATGGTGGCACACGTGCCCTTCGTTGGACGATAACGAGGTAAACTCACTGATAACAGGCGAGCGCAGCGCATACCACTTGGCCGCAGTGAATCGGAAGAAACGGGCGTCTCGGTGGGTCGGATCGCACTCAATGAAGTTGAATTCGCGCGCACGTGCGCGCGGACAGATGTTGCTTCGCTCGCGCGATGAGCCGTCGCTTATTTATTATTCAATCGTTTCCTCTGGTGTGACGGCGCTGACGTGCGAGTAGCGACGTTTCGCCACTCGTGTTCCATGCATTTCGTATCCTGTTGCTTGATTATAATAAGTGGGGCTTTTGTTATCATTGCCGTTCGCGAATAGCGACTCTTCAGGATCGCCGCACAGTGCAGCTATCAAAACCTGGCAGAGAGTAAAAAGTTGCAATCTCAAAGGAAGCATGTTATGTACATATAATCAATGGCAAACATATTCATATGTACGTTTCTGATACTTTTTGTCATTTTGATTGCTGTTATCATTACTGCTGTCATTACCGCTGCCATCTTCAAGCGAAGCGTTTACATTTGTGCGAAACACGTTGTCATTTCATATCGTCGTTTCATATTGTAATATATCGGAAAATTGGAATTTCCCATAGTTATTCCAACATGGAAATGATGCTTTCAGCTATTTTAATCAAATATTTATGTAAATGGTTAAGTTCTATTACTTTTATAACGAATTACTTTTATAACGAATATTACATTGTTTTAGCTTGATATGAAATTCTTACTATAATATTTGAGACTTTTTAATAATTATTATTATTTGTGGCATCTCCTGACTTCGAAATTTGTTTATTATATGTAAGTAATATATATAAATTATATATAAACTTTTTTACTGGAAAACAAAATATTTTAGGAACAATTTTATTTGAAGTATTAAGACAGTTATACATACAGACGATTAGAAATTAGAATGTTGTAATTGAGTATTTAAAAATGATATCATCTTACAACGTATATGCTTTAACATATACGTACAAATTATATATTTTATTTGGAAAATTAATTGTTATTATTATTTATTATAGTTTATTGTTTGTTATTAAGAAGCACATATAGCAGATATATCATCGAATTAAACATAAATATATATTTGTCTGTTAATACAGTCTAATTAAAAAGGAATCACTTATGAATTAATATCACCGGTGTCACATACCAACCGAAAGTGCTAAAAACTCATTTCCGTCACATTTGAATGCAAATTGCCCCACTGTGGACCGGATCATGCAGGTCTTTGGGTCTCGAAAGTGGTGCTTAAGTAGCGCTCAACGTAGCAAAACCCGCGTTCGAAGGAGTTTTCTGGGACGAGTTTCGAAACTCACTTTCAAGGCGATAATATTCAAAGTAGCTTTGCTGATTAGACGCGTCGGGCGTCTCAACGAAGTTCCTCATTGTCACGGACGTCTATCCGCCGCGTGATTGCGCGTTTTTCCGGATTACGCGTTCTTCCTTTATTCGGAAACTCGCGCACGAGCGCACGTGATTCTCGCGTTACGAAATTATCAGGTGTTACTTTCTCTCTCATTCTTACCACGCGAGCCGATCGGGTCGGCTCAACGCGGAAAATTAGTAATCGAATTAATGCAAATCGCGTATGTAACATCACGTATAATTATTCATACAACATAGACAATCTTTCTTCCTTTACGAAGTAATTAAGTCACGTCGGATGCGAGGTATCTCCTAACGATCGAGATTGCGTTCCAATTTACGAGCGGCAAGATTGATTTCACGTAATCCTAATGAAACTGAACGCGTCGATCGATGCTGTTTTTTATTGCCGTTTATCAATCGCGTGCTCGAGGCAGGAGGCACTAAATACTGCTCGGATGCTGGCAGATCGATGATGACCTTTCACTGGGAGAGAAAAATGTATGATGTCTGGAACTAATAATGGCACAATTAAAAAAATTATAGTGAATAAAATATAATAAATATTATTACGAGTTTCAATTACGATGTAGGAATAGTGTGCGATTGAACTGTGTAAATTTTATTATGAATTATAATAATTTTTTAAGTATAATTATAGTAAAGTAGCAAATATGAAATGGTAATATAAATTGACCGTTTTATATAGCCAACACAATTGTTATGAACAAATAATACTATACAGGGTGTCTCAGGCCAACAAGGAGAAACTTCGTGAGGGCGTAGAATAGATTGAGATGAACAAAAAAGTCATTTTGCAAACGACACGCGAAATTTCGAGTTGTTGATTTATAATTATTGGAAATGGCCATGTATAGAGGCTTCTTTAATTTATAGCTCAAAAATTTGCATGGTGTTTGCAAAATGATACAGGACTTTTTTGTTCAGAGTGGTCTAATCTACAAATATATGATAGTTGTTTTATCTAGCAGCAGACATCAGTATATCAAACTTTGAATCTCGAACCTTGAACCTCACTTTGTTCTATGCCTTCACGAAATTTGTCTCTATTGAACTGGAATATCTTGTATATATAGAGTGATTCATTTAATTATTTTCATTAATTTTAACAGGCAAATATTTCGAAAAATATGGAAGATACGGGAAAATGTTTCTAATAAAATTTGTAGGGTTTGAAAGGGAATATAAGATGATGATCTTAACTTGTTGCACAGTCAATAATTCAAGATTTCATTTCAAGGTCTTCATTTTTTTAAATAGAATCATATAGTTTGTTTAACACAAATCGATTCCTGTGTTTATTATACGTACGTATAAAAGTATCAGAATAAAGTCATCTAAATACGAATACTTTTCGAGTTATTTCATATTTGTGATCGATTCAGCACACCTGTAAAATTAGGCGGACACTTTTCTTTTATCCGAGCAATCAGTAGATAGTAACAAAATTAACTTGACACAGAATCTTTTTTTCCAACCTCTTTCCTCATGATTTTGTCAATGTTAATTAATATTAGTTTGCCAAACTATTTTTTCCTCTCAACGTTCCCTGAGCGTTTCTGCGGAACGATATTTCTTGGCTATTATAATTGAAAAAAGTGTGCCAAAGCTAGTGGTAAAATTCTACACAAAATTGAGGTAATCTGCTGATCTGTTCCCTTTTCGATTATGTAGGAAACAATATGTACGAGATCGGCGATAACTGTCGCTATTATTCACAGAGGAATAAACCACGCTTATCTGCATAAACACTTGACACCGACCTGGAAACTGATAGTTTTGCATTAGAAAAGGGATATCTGTGTCGAGTACGATTAAAATGAGAGCGACGTGAGAAGGTAAATATACAATGGCCGTGTCTTTAAATCATACGGAGTCGTCCGCGGCTATTATGCAAAACCGACATTAATATGTTAATTGCGCGGATTTCTTTGTCAAGCAAGAATACAACGCCAAGTGTCGAAACGACCCGGTTCACTATGACCACGATGACGATGATGATGATGATGTTACAGTCTAATTATTGCTCGTGCTTTTTTTTTTTCTGAATATCAAGTATAACGCGNGGGGGGGGGGGGGTAATAATTTATCTTTATACAAAATTTATCAACATACTAATATTAACCTTCATGTAGTTTTCGGGTCAAATAGACCTGAAGATTACAGGAGGGTTGAAGCCTCTTCGAGGATCTTTAGTAAACTTTCTTAATACTTCTTCCAGTTTCTTTCTTTTCGTGAGAACCATTTTCTTGTGTTCACATAGCATGCATAGTCTACTGAAGCGATTTTCTGATATTCTTGACTGAAATCAGGTTTTCATCCTTCGCAATGTACTGAAAGATCTTTCAGTAGTGCGCGTTGTGTACGGTTGGGCCAAGGAACATTTGGTGGTGAAATAGAGAAATTTTCGTTACATTCATTTTCATAAAGCATTGCTAATACTTTGTCATTAGTTTTTAATTCTAGAGCTTTAATTATAGAGCATGTATTGTACACGGGGAAAATATTGTAACAAAAATTATCACAAAATTTTGTAATGCTAGATCGTATCGGAATTATGACTGAAATGATTACGTGTGTAATAATTACGTACTCTTTAATGATGTACTTCATCATACGCATCACCAAAGATTACAATACATATAATCATTTCAGTCATAATTCCGGTATGGTCCAACATTATCAAATTTTGTGGCAATTTTTACGACAATATTTTCTCCGTGCAGTTTTTTTCTCATGTAAAATACAGATTGTAATGTATCAATTACATTTTTCTTTACTTCTATGATTTTCATAATTTGTTTCCCTCTTGCCAAAATTTAGAGGTGGGTAAATCTCTCTCCCCCTTTGCCCTTTGCCGTCCATAAACGCGATGATGGTATTTTTAACGCGGCCGTTGCGCGAGCGTCGCGTCGTAATTAAAAAATAACTAATTTTCGCTCGAAAAACGCCCGGGTCATTCGCGATTGCGGTTTTATTTTCGTCGCGACTCGCGCGATCCGAGCGTGAAATATATTGCGGCGCGCGTCGGTGTATAATCCTATCCTATCAGCGCTAATTAAACGCGGTGACCGCGATCGAATCGCACGATCTCTATAGCTGAAACGTCAAACAAATCCTCGACGTTTCTCGCGCGTTTAAAGTAGTTGGAGAGGTTTAAGGTTGCTGGATTTTCAGCGACGATATTAAGCGGCTCCTGCATAAGTTTATTATTTATCGAAAAAATTCTTTCCTATAGCTTTATTTAACTATTTAAATAATCAATAATACATAATAATTTTGAGCGAAATTAAAATAAATATATATACAATATTAACAAATTAGGATATATATAATCTTATGTATTATTAATTTTGTA